TGGATCGGCCAGGCCGGAACCCGCACTGTTCCTCCGGGAGGATTTCGTTGGCTTCGCAGAATGCGCTCAGGCGGTTGGTGATGGTCCTGGCGAGTATTTTGCCTACATGCGAGAGCAGCGAGATGCCCCTGAAGTTGTTGCAGTTCGACCGGTCACCCTTCTTGTACAACACCTTAATGATGGCATCCTTCCACTCCTGCGGCATCTCTCCCCCATTCCACACTTCGACGAAGATGGCACGGAGGCGCTCCAGGACAATGGGCTCGCGTCGCCGTCGACCTTGAGCAGTTCGGCGGCAAGGAGGTCGGGGCCAACCGCCTTCCAGTTCCCCAAACCTTTCGTTGCCACCTCAACCTCCTCGAGGTCTGGTACCGCCGCCAGGCGTCGGGTGGCGCGCGTCGCTGGTCGCTGCGTCACCTGTCTCAATAGATGTCGGAGAAAACCTCGGTCGTGTAAATCAATTGCAGAATCACCACTATTCATTCCCCTCCTCTCCTCCAGGAGAATAGGACATGTTATATGTACATGCGATGATGATCCCCATGGCAACATTAACCAGCAGCAACATGATGCAACAACAGAGACGACAGATGCCAACAGCAATTAACCGAGCCAACCAAGAGGGAAAAAATACGAGACATCGCCCCCCAACTCAGTTAAATAGACGATTCTGATGCAGGCTGCGTGCTTGATGAAATAAGGATAATATCAAACGACGTTTGGAATAACGTGTTGCGAAACCTTCAGCCAGGCAAGCCGGGGGGGGGGGGGGTACTCATAGTCGTGCATGCCGTAGTCGTTAGACCATTGACCTCGCATCCCTACAAAGCCGGGACGGAGCACNCGCATGAAGAGTGCGCTGCATCCTGCTAATGCCGGGGGGGTCGAAATTACATCCACCCTCTCGCAAAAGCTACTGCTTAGCTGCAGCCGCTACTAACTAACGTAGGGTGCGAACGTTTAAGCACGGTGGCTGTTGCGCCCGAAGGGATATCTTCCGAGCGATAGGCATCTATGTTCCAATAGATAGTCTGGGCATCATCCATCTTCCAGTAGATAGGCATCATCAACATCCAAGAAAATTCGAGGAACACCCGTCCGTCCCCCCGGTGTCACTCTGATCAGAGATAGATATATTATTATTGTAGAGGTGACTCAAAACACAGAAGAACTAAAACCACACGACCTCACGTTTCAGCATATTTTCTGTACCGGCATCATATATCTACTGCACAGGTGGGCTGGCTGTCGCTCTACACACGGCCCTCTTAAAACCAAACATGAAACAAACACCACAACGTACAAGAACAACAGGGGAAACAAAACTACAGAAAGAATATATGAATAGGTCGGGACCTGGGGGTTCCGTCAAACAAAGCAAACCAACAGGAGCCAGCCACCGCCCCCAAAACAAGTTCAACGAAGTGTTCAACAAAAAAACATATTCCGACTTCCACCACGTCGTCCATGATATGCTACGTTGTATAGCCAGATACAGCATTGTAGCGCAGCAGTTAGACTGCGTGTTTTGTGCAGAACGAGTATGAACCCTGCACACATTCTTGCGCTTCAATTGATCCGGAGAACAAAAACAGCAGGGATGTACCAATACGTCTACTCCGAAGTGCTAGGCTGCCCTTTGAATCCAATCAAATCGCGAAGAGATGAACGACGGGAAAGGAAACCGGTCAAGGCGAGCCGCCCTGGCCCGTAGCGATATCGGGAAAACTTCACCGTCCGTCCGTCCATCCGTCCACTACAATTGAGGCAACCACAGGCCATCGTACGGTACACCACTGCTGTATTGCTGCAGTACACCACCAAACGATCGCTCGCTGTGTCTGTCACTTGTTAAAAATTCGTAACTAACACTGATCCACAGCAACCCTTGCAAGATGGTGTCATAGGTCATAGACCGAGGATCATCATCCCGCCTCGCGCAGGAGAAGAGAAACACTTCACATCGGAAACGACGTGATCCGATTCGCCACCCCTCCAGCATATCTACCTCATGTATGATACACGACGATGTTCTACGCTGCACACCACCATCACACTCAGACGTTGCCGCCGGCAGTCCTTTCGCCCACTCTGGTACAGCCTGGTGCGTCCTCTATTCTTCTACAGAATACTTTCACCACGAACAGACCTGCTTCACTATTGCAGCACTGGTCCCACTCAGTCCAAAACTAAAAAAATCATCAAAAAGAAACACGGCAAGACGCTACTCTTCTAAAAGAGGCGAAGTGCGCAGGCTTGCTTAAAGAAAGGATTCTAGAAGGTGGATGCTGTGTGCCCTGTCCTCAGTTGGTGAACCAACTCCAAATAATCCTGGAAATGAAACATGGCGGGTCAATACATTGAGTAAATCACGTGCGGGGGGAAGAGAGGAATGCAGGTTTAGAAACAGACAGCGTGGCACCCTGGGAAGATTTTCGGGGGGATGCACAGTATAGTTTAGTATATGCCTCCGAGCAATGAAAGGACCAAGTACGTATCACATTTGGACCGAGGGAGGTCGGAGCAACCCGGTTTCAGCGGCATTTATATGGCGAGCAACCGGCATTATTCCGGTATGACACAAGTTCAATACTCCATCTATGCCAGACGATTTCGCTTGCACCGGCACCACACCGGGACCACTGCTACAATTGTATATCATTACAAAGCACCATTGTACGGGGAGATCGAAGCAGGCCGCGAATCGATAAAAAAAAAATTACCGTTGTGTTCACAAGACGCACTGAAAAAAGCGTCAAGGGGGGTGTTTGTGTCTATATTCGTATTGCTGTTCGGGCAGGACATACGCATATGGATAGCACCGACACATGAGACAAATAAGGTAACGTGGTCGACGCGGATAAATAAGATGGATATTACGGTAGAAAGGTAAGGCAGACGGCCTTTGAGTGGCTGGTTCCCCTACCGGGTGGTCTGGGTCTAGGAACCCATGTCTAAGAGCGAAGTCGATCATGACCAAGGCGCAGTTGGGCTTCCATCTGGCGAGGTCGGTCTTAATGGTTTTGAGGGCTTCCTCCACGGGCATGAGGAGAAACTCTTCCACCTTCATAGGGGACCAAAAGCAAAAGGGGGGTTACAGAGAAATCAGAAAGAAAAGGCAGCAAAAACATGATCCATGATTGTCCACAACCTAGACAAGCACACACACACAACAAAAAAACACAAGAAGGGTAGCAAAACATGACCCACGGTTATCGGCGGCTCAAACAAGCACATCGGAACAAACCAGGAGATGCGACCCATGACATGGTTGTCAGAAACATGAACAAGAAAATACACCAAGGAAAACGGAAATACAACAACGCATGATCCGTGCTTGTCGTCAGGGCTCCCTGCGACGATACCGGGGAGGTTTTGTTTTGTTTTTCCACCTGCAGCGCTACACATCGTCCGACCAAGATACTCACAAAGTAATTTGAGATTGATAGGAAACATCACGCCAAGACACTACAACGGAGAGGAAACACCACGCTTGGGTTTTAACGGGAGAGAATAAACGGAGAGAGACGCACACGCCGAGAGAGGAGAGGGAGCAGCGTGACAAGAACCGTCCAGAATAACCACACGCCCTAACCTAACTCCCGCACTCAAAGTAGTGTACAGTACCGTACCACACCGTACCACACAGGCAGCCCTTCCGCGGCAGCGAACATTATCGTTGACGCTAACGCTGCCGAAGACGTGAAACCGCTGCCACGTTCTGCTCTGTTCATTCGGAAGCTAAGACATACTGTTGAAACACTTTCTGCGGCGGTTGTTTTCTGCTTTCTATCGTTTGCCGAAGGGGACCAGGGTGCTTTGTGTTGCTTACCGCCATCGTGAGAGCGCTTGCCACGCAGCAGCTTCAAGCCTGACAAATAAAAATGTTTCCCTGGCATGCCTCCCTCCTTCCAAACACCACCAAGGTATTGCTGCCACATCCATCATCTACCATCTACCATCTCGGCAAGTCAGTCAGCTACCATCGGCCCTTCCCTGTGTGCGTGTGAGCGTTGGCGATCACTTTTCGGGTATCACAACATAGATTGATGAACCATTCGGGTCATCAGACTGTATCGTGCAGGGGGCTACATCGAAATATAGCGATTCTTGCTTCCGAATTACTTGCTTGTCTTTGCATGTTTGCTGGGGGGGAGGGGACGTTACCTCGCCATCCCCGTTGTACGGTACGAAGTCCTCCGGAACCTCGAGGTCGAAGACGCACAAGAACTTGGTGCTCAGCCCTTTCCTCGTGCCGTAACGGTACGAAACCTTCCAAAACAATCAACAAACAAAACAGGGAGCAAAAGGAAAGAAAAGAGGGCGTGAGACGAAGGAATATCCAAGGTAGACACACAACAGACAGCATGACGAGAGAAACACGACAAGAAACGAAAGAAAAAGAGGAAGGGGGATCGAAGCAAAAAGGGAAACAAGCGTGTATCATACCGAGTGGAAGGACGCATGCAAACGCCACGTTGCTGCAGTTCATCTAAATAGTCTAACAGCTGCCATAACGCGTGCTGATGTTTTCATGTGCTCTGGTGGTTGCCGGTAGTTTCATATCGAAGCTCGATACGCTTTCAACAATGCTGTGACGTCATTCAACTCTTCCACTACCACCACCAAACCCACAAGAGCGTCCAATTCGCGGTAGACTCTACTTGCACTACTAGCGAACGCGTTCTTTGCTCTGACACACGCGTTCAATTGCGATTGGTTTGCCAACCTGCTGTACACCGTACAAGTTTCCTGCCCTGCCCAGGTCGGTGCTTGTGATACAGGATACACATGTGCAGATGTGAGAGATAAGAGAGATATATGTGTGATTCGTTCGTTCGTAACCCGGCAGAGTTTCAACGTCTAAATGAAGCTCGTTCTTCTTTTTTTCGCGATAAAAATGAACCGCAACCTGCCTTTGTCCAAGGGCACTATTATGTACAAGTGAATCTACCTGTACCTTTTCTTTGTATCTCCTAAAGAATAAACAACACCAAGCGCTACTGTATTACTTGTCCTAGGGTAGAGGGAGAACTGTTCCTTATCATCTCCCTACTTCACACGAAGCCAAGCCTTTTGAACAGTCGAAGTTAACGTACCTGGCCGGTAGGCTTTATCTTGCAGGACAGGCTGGAAGGGAGACTCGCCTCTTCCTCGCACTCCTTCTGCATGTTCTCCTTAAACCTGTACACAGACAATATCAAAAACAAACCCTCAGAATCGGTAAACAATGCTCAAGACAATGACACAGAACAACAAAGACAAAACATCGCCAAAAACACGCGGCGAAACCGCTGCCGGTACGCCGCCGCAGTATGTTCCCCTTGGGAGGTACGCGCTAGTACGTGGGCAGTACGTGGTCGAATGAACCCGACCTCGACACCTTGCCACTATTTCAACGTTAACAAGAATAAGAGCAAAGAGATGAGAGACGCACGCACCCCATTGTTGCTGCCCGAAATGTAGGGCTAATCAGGGGCTACACGTACACCAAGAAAGGGGACTCACCCCATCCCAGCCGGTTGCCCCCCGGCGACCATCTGGTCCCACATGCCGGGATAGGTGGCTTTGCTGACGCTCCTCACGCCAATCCACACCCTCATTGGCTGGGTATCTAGAGTAGCGTCATGGGGTACAGGGCAAGCGCAAAGGGCCCATGTCGGCACAAGAGATGGGAAAAGCAAAAAGTTCCAAGAAATATGCATGACACTATTGAGGAAGACGCAAGACGGGGAGGGTGTCACTGCAACCAAGTGACCAATCACGCCTCTACGCTACTGCTGCTCCCGGTTCTTTTGTCACGGGAGCAGAGTCGTCCGGAGCTAGCTTGATTCGTTGATGGGCTTGTGTTCCCGGGGAGCTTCACTCAATTCCGTCTCGATCGTGCGAACTTGCATTCGTAGAGAAACGCCAAATCGTGAGGAGGTCAAATCACTGGTGAGGTAGGCCACAAAAAGGCACTGAAAGGTTGGAACATTTGCAGGTCGAAGAGTTGAAGCTGTTTCGACCTCACTCTACAGCTGTTTGCACCCCTGACTGACTGACTACTTGTCTTCCCGCGAGCCATCTTCGGGCCAATTCTTGCCAGACAACTATATTTCTAGTACCATAGAGCGACGTTAGTTATTACCACTTGCTCAGACCCATTAACGTGATAGGTTTGGCACAGCTCCAAGTAGCTGTCATATCACGGCACTCTTACGGTCGGGACTTTCTTAGTGACAATGTAGCACGACCGGTGCTAAATAAATCGTACGCGACAGAACCACACAAAAGCGCGGGGTGTTCCATCGGTTTTTCACCGGTTTCCCCACACTTTTTTTGCGGGTTTTCCACTTCGATCCCGCATCGCTCACCGGTGGCTTTGACATAGCCGTTGAGGTGTACGCCGTACGACGGTACACCGAAGTGGATCATCGCCGCTCTTTCTAGCCGAAACAGCACGTCTCCTGTCACGCTCAGCTTTCCGGTCGCCGACCGCACGTCCTGTGCATAAAATGTGCATACGATATGCATACAATATGCACGTGCATGTCGTCGCACGCACACAGGAGATCACCCGCGAATTAGGGGCACAGCAGAATCGTGATATTGGCGGAAAGAGGCAGGGGGGCGACGACGATACGTTCAAAAACATAGGAAAGGGAATGGGATGGGGTCGAAGCTTGATTCGAACCCACGCGCCAAATGCTACGTAGAAAACTACCATATCATATCATATATACGTGTTACGATGTGGGTGTCTCGTTCTTTCTTTCTGTTGTGGCGCCAGTCTACACATTTCCGTGCGTGTTTTGAAGCCGATGTCCATCATGCAGAGGGTAACACAAACACGAGAACATAACGCTTATTTTCGTATTGCGAGGTTTAAGGCACCGCAGGCGCAACATCCACCCCACTCAGAACCCTGTTGTGCTGCTGCTGTATCGACAAACAGACACCTACCTGGAGTTCGTTTCTCAGGGCCCCCTTCGGGATGGCGCCAGTATCAACCAACCCCTGCACAAGACCGCTCACGACGCGAGTCCTCTCCTCCACGCTGGCGGCGTAAGGCGCAAGCACGTAGGCGGGACCCTCCATGCCCATGGGCCCGGCCCCCGGGACGCTCGCCCTGAACATCACCGCGTCGCCGCTGGAGAAGAGGTTGAGCTCGCTGGCGAACTGGCTAGAGACCGCTCCCACCTTCGCACGCACGCGACGAGGGGTAGACGAATCGACCAAGATGTATGTGTTATGTATGTACATTAGAGGTGAAGGATAGCACAATGTTGCTGTTGTTGTTGTTGTTGATGATGATGATGATTGATCATCCTCACCTTAACGTCTTCGACGTAGACAGGGATGAAGTCCGACGCCACGTAGCGGTTGCACCTCTGGGCCGCGGCAAGAAGGGTGGGCTGCTCCTCGAAGGCCCGCTGTTCCTCCTTTGTCAGTTGCTGAACGTCCGACATTCTTATGTCCCCCTGATGGCACCAGCAACAAGAACAACGGTAACAACGACGCGGACATCGGCAGCGCCATCAGCAACAGCAATAGCAGTATGTAGCGGCGACGGCAACCACAACAGCACCCGCAAAACGACAACGACGACGACGAAAGCAGCACAATCATCATGGACCGAAACCTACTTTTAACCCCATCCATTATGAGGTGGGTGTCCCATCGTCTGTCTCAGACCGACGAAAAGAAGAGCCCCTCTCCTTGAAAGGATGGATTAGGGCTAGAACAAGACAATCGCCCACCACCACCTGGCGCCAGTGCTTCCCCTACAACCATAGTGTTCGCAACCGCGCAACTGAGCATACTGCACTGCCTTGTACTTGAACTTGTGCTGATTGCATGCACGCATGCGACCTTTTGTTGCATCAGAGCGGCAGGCCCTACATTCCCAACCCACCATCTCCAGAATCTCACGCATCCCGCCGGGACCCAGCCGCTCCGCCTTGGCCTTGGCCACCTCTTCCACGAAATCGCACACCTCTGCAAATGTGTCAAGGTCGCTTTTGGAGGAGTCCACTACCTTGCTAGGGACGTCTTTGTATGCCTCCCTGATGCCCTCAGAGGTTTCTGCGTACTGGTTCACGTCCGAAACATTACGGAGAAGGGAGGGGAGGGGGAAAACATGGCCAGCTAGGTTACACAGTACGCGCAAGCCGCAGCAACGACCGCAATGTTGAAGTGGAGGATGTGTACTGCGTTCGAGTGCTGCTGTTCGTTTCTTGTTGTTCTTTCTGAGGTTAGAGGCATCGACTGGTCTTTCAGACACAGAGTGGAGATAATGTAGCGTTGAATTCGGCGAGCAGCGAAACCGGCTAGTTTATTTGATCACCTGGGTCAGGGGGAACCATCTGAAACAACGACGATACCATCTACTGAAAAATTTCGAGCATGAGCATGATCGACGTATCCACGAAACTTCTCAACTGTTCCATTACGTCATGAACCAGCAGAAACATGACGTACGTCATCTCACGCCTGCCTCAACAGCCACTTCTCTTCTCTTGTCTTGTCGTTTATCACCGGTCACATCATCACACGCATCACATCATCACATCATCACATCATCACATCATCACAGTCGATTCACCTGCTTGAGGCGCTTTTCGATGACGTCTTTCGTGTCGTCGGTTCTCCAAGTCAGGCGGGGCACCACGTCCGGCGGGGGCGGCGAGAACTTCTCGAGCGTTTCATGAAACCGCCCGCGAATCGGAACGAAACGCGTCGCAGCCAAAATGAGACACGAGACGCAAAGAAAACCCGAAGCGAAGGGATGGAGTGGGGCACGACCGGGATTCGTCAGTACTCACATCTCACATGAGCAGAGACTCCGCTGTCGAGTGGGGGGGGGGGGGGGGGGGGNGGGGGGGGGGGGGGGGGGGGGCAGCAGCGCCGGTATCCCCACGCAAGTCTCAGCCAATCAAGGGCAAAATCGCAATTCAATGTGCAAAACAAGAGCAGTCCAAGTAACTCGCCCGCAGTTCAGCTTCAACCAACCAGAGTCGTTTCGCATTCAAACGCAAGCCTATCATTGTTACTCCGTCCAACTTCCGGTTCAGCCAAACGATTCGCCAAAAACAAAAAAGCAAGAAAGACAGTCAGAGAGCCAGACTCATTACCTTGGGATGATAGATCACCCCCGTGGTAGGGTCTGTGCATCGCCCCAAAATGAATTCCTTCACCAGTCCATCCGGCCGCTCCAGCATGACGATTAGGTCCGGCACGATGTCTTCCTCGCCAAGATCTGCCGCTTGCTCCCGCGATCTTGGAAACCCTTGTCACCAAAATTGGCGTTCGCCACACACCGATGGGACAGGGGACGGGGGGGAGCGAGTCAGTCAGTGAAGCTGGAGCGTGCGAAAAGCTCTTCAAGATCGAAGGAGAGCACAACAAACACGGCGACAGCAACAATTCACGATTAGTGCAAGGGTTGAAGATGGGGTACGGTGAAATCTCCGATAGGTTTTAAGTGCGCCACGTTCTTTGGAGCGATCTTGGAACGCTTTTGACTACGACATGTACCCCGAAGGGGGGAAGGGGGGAGAGTGGCGTGGCTGGTTGGGGGGGGNGTTAGGTCATTCACCTCGCATCCCTACAAAGCCGCCAATGAGCACGCAGAGTTCTCACGGGACCAGGCTCTCACGTCACCAAGCGCGAAGCGCCGTGAGGTATTCGGTGTGGCTGGTGTGCAAAAAATAAAAAAAAAGTACAAACCATACCATACTGCGCGCTCTACGGGCAGCTCCTTGAGCTATCGCAGACAACACGCACGAACTATAAAGTTTGTTTCGTGAACGTGCGTATTCAATCTGCCGCAACTGACTCTGGTCAACCATGTTGTTGTGCTCAAGGGAAAAGTCAAACCCGTTTAAGTCGCTCAAACATCGGCGTGAGAACGGGTGACAAGCCCAAAACCAAACGGGCATGACAGATATATCGGTGAGAGAGCTTCCCGAACAAGCGTCGTTCAACCACATAAAAGGACGTTACACGTACTCTATGTAGATACCGTAAACGGCAGAGGGATATTCCATTCTAAATTAGGATGTGATGTATTCGTGGTGCCCATGCATACCACTCAGAGTCACCGTCGTACGGTAAGGAATAGGGTTAGGATCTGGGCTAAATAGGGTTTTAGGGGAAAAGCTCATCCGCAGCATCGTCGGTGACGGAACGCCCAACGTACCGTACCGTCTAAAATCCATCCGTTCTGCGCGCAGTCCCTCTGCGCCAGCCGCTTGGTGACGAGCGACAACACAACCTCAGACGGGAGCATCTCCCCCCGAGACATGAACTCGTTCGCTATCTTCCCCAGCGATGTCTCCGCTTGGGCCTGTGAGTGCAACGTTGCAAGAACGGTTCATGACACCTCTCGCGGATTGAAAGACGTGACATGACTGTGGGTGGCATAATGCTTCCAACATCAAGCGGCTGCCTCCCCCGTCCGCAGATCAAACTCTCCACCAACAGCAAAAATGTAACGAGGGTTAACATGGTGGTATGTATTAAGGATACACGCACCCATCGCAAGCGTAATCACCAAGCTGTTAGGAGTCAGCCCCCGAAATCGATTTTTTTTTCTTTGTCTGCTACAAAATGAACCATGAACGAAGACAAAGAGTGCCCTGCTTGACGGCTTGACGCCTGACGTTAGCACGCGTTCGTCGGGATTGCTGTTTTTAATCGAGGTCTTGCAGAAGGCCGAGAACCTTTGACAGTTGCGGTTTTGGTTGGTGGGCTAAAACGAGAAACACGAAAATGATGATGTTCATCATCGATCAACAGCAACAACAACAACAACAACAACAACAACAACAACAACAACAACAACAACAACAACAGCAGCAGCAGCATCAAGAGCAGCATCAAGAGCAACATCAAAAGCAACAGCAGCAGCAACATCAACAGCAGCATCAAGAGCAACATCAACAGCAACAAGACGCGAAAGACAATGGGCGAACAATATTTCTGGAGGACACACACACCTCTGATCTTAGCAGATTCCCGGAAGCAATGTACACCCCTCGGTAGGCTCGCGATAACATCGGGCTGATGCTGCCTTTTCCGCTCGACGGCTTTCCGGTGACAATGATCTTCAAAGGTGGCCCATCGTACGCCTTCAGAGGGACCAAGGAGTTAACAAGTTTATTCGAGCGAAGCGAGATTTCTAATCTTGCCTGAGAGGGCTCAGCGCAATATAGGGGCCGATGCAGGAAAAAAAGTGCGTGCGTGTGTTGTGTTCGCTTAAACTAGGTTTTAGAGTACAGGACTTGATTTGTGACTACAGGGCGCACTTTTTTTTTTTACACAGCAGAGCAGCAAACAGCAACAGCAGACAACACGCGCTCAGCGAGCAGACTGAACACACACGCACAGCAGACAACACGCGCTCAGCGGGCACAGCGACACACCAACAGCGCAGAGCGGACACAGCCACAGCGGCCTGCATGGCATGGCAATTG